GTGCTCAGCCGTCCAGTTCGGATTCCGATTCCAGTGACGATGGTGTTTCCGCGGTCGCGATGAAAAGGGGCTTATCGTTAGTTACGTTAGATGGTTCCTCGTGTGCGAAGGCTTTTTGTGGTGAGGAGGCTTTCGATGCTCAAGGTGATGTTGCTCCTAATGGATTGAAGCGGAAGCTCCCGTTGTCCAATGGTGATGGTGTAGTCGCTCTTGGAATGGTTCCATGCAGACGTCGTGCTTCCGCTCCGTTCTCTGCCATTGTTGATAATGGTGTTGAAGAACCACCGTTAAAAAGGAATAAGGGTAATTCCGGTGATGGTCGCCGAAATTCCGTTCCGTTTCGTCGTGTTACCGAAGATTCCGTGAGGTTGGATCCTCGTCTGGCTGACAATTCTTTCGATGCCAAGGTTTGTTGATGTTTCAATCGCCATACACTTTTATGGTGCTTTGAAGTTCGTGGCTGAGTTATAGTAGTGAATTTTTTTAAGTCGTTTTTACGGAAATCCTCACAATGATTGTTCAGTGTATTCCCTTATCTCAACCCGGTGTTTTCGAACAATTCGATCGTTCAACCTAATTGCTGGTGTTTGATTCTTTGGTTTTTATTTAAGGGGTGGCATTGTTGTACTGCGCGTATGTTTAGTACTAGCTGTCTGCACGGGTTTGAAGAATGCACCGCAGATCATACTCTTTCTTATGTTAAGTGTGTTCACTGATGATCGCGATGAACAGCATGTTTTTCTGAGTTATTTCCGGATAAAAGAGCAGAATGAAGACTGGAATGTTCACAGCAATATCAAACAGTAACTGCGAGATTCGTGTGGAGTGATGTTAGGGGAATAACAAGTGGATGCACGCGGGTCGCTGTTTGCGATACCCATCAATATCACTCAGCGTCTCTAATCGTCGGTGACCATCATCTCGGGGTCCCCAGCCAGGGAGCCTAACAGGGCCTATGTGACCTAGTCTCCTGGTTAGAATTTTCATACACATGCTTCATGCGTGACGCGTCCTTCAGGTGAGCTATAGCTGCCCCGGTAGCAAAATTCGTCTGCTTTCTCTACAACTTCCCCAGTGAGGGNGAGACTGGGTTCTGGGCCAACCCAATCTTGTACGAATACTTTACACTTTGAAGAAGCTAAGCTCATGCCGAACATGGCTACACTAGCACTTAGATTATCCAGAAAAGCTTGCTACCTACCTGAATCTTCACTTAGTAGCAGAATGTCGTCTGTATACTCTAGATCAGACGGTCTGCCACCTGGAAGTAAATCGATATCTCTATCCTCGCACGGGGACAGGGCTGTTTCAAGAATTAAATCTATCACGAAGTTAAATAGAGATGGAGAGATAGGGCAACCCTGTTAAACACCACTTTTCGTGGTGAACTCGATCGAAAAAGTGCCGTGAGCTCGGACTCGGCTCCGGCTATTTGTAAAGAGGGATTGTAATATTGAAATAAACTGCTCGGACGCACCCTTTAGAGGGAGGCATCGCCAGAGTTTAGATCAGCCGGCTGAGTCGAAAGCGGCGTTTAAATTGAGGAAAACAGAGATGGTTCACCAAAGAAGTTTCTTTGTTCTAGAATTTGACGGAGAGTGAAGATGTGATCGTTACAACCTCGCCCAGGTATAAAACTAGCCTGGTTCTCACGCGTACACTGTTCACTTGCGGCGGATAATCGAAGGAGTATGATTACGACTGGAAGTTTAGAGGCAATGTTAATTAAACTAATTAACGTTGCCCCTAAAATTATATGGACTACTCCTGATTTGTCCAATAAAATCTCAGATTAGACTGGTATCACCTCGAATACCCCATAAACCGCAGAATCCCCTGAGAACCACACTCAGTGGGGACATGAAACGAGAATGATTTCTTTGTGTAAGCTCGTATATCAGAGGTGATTTGTACGGTTTGATCAGGTAGAATGAGTTTCCGGAACAAAACAGATGAAGTTGGGGTTTGGCTCAAAATAATGAAATCTTGAACTCTAGACCAGAAGAGGTTTATCGTTAGGTGATGCGTTAGTCTGAACAATACAAATCTGTTTCCCCGTGGCGCACTTCTGAGCATCCATCGACGGTGTCCCGATTTACACTGAACCCCTCTGGGGAAAGGTGATCAACGGACCTGATATTGGTACACTGATTCAGTTCAGCTCGTAGACCCTGTTATGGGTCAAAAGTTCTGCATTTGTTTAGACATGCACGAACATTGAGCAGTGTTCAAGTGTTTTACAGAATACGAGTGAAATCTTCTGAATGTTGGTGTCAGTAGACAGTTATGCAATTTTCATGTACTGTCTGTTGCTGTACCCACTCGAATAGTAACGGCAACCACTGACACATTTGATGGTGGCCGTTGCAAATACATTCAGAAAAAAGGCCATACCACAATATTGCACAATTTATGTCTATGACAATTTCCCTGCATCTAAACATGATGCATACTGCAGAAAACACTGTCTTTATATAGAGCTTTAACATGACAAAATGGAAAAGTAAAATGTATTAAAACAGGGGGGAAGGGTAAAAGAACTATGTCAGTAGGGCAAGGACAAACTACACCTTTTCCAACCAATCTTGAGCCAAAACTGCGATCCTTTAGCCTTAACCCGGAATGCTTTAGCCACGACCCGTAGTTCTTTAGCCTTGATACACAAACTTAAGTCATATCGCTGTAGGCGAGTCAGATCAAAAGGTATCGGAGAATTTTGAGGTCATCGAATGTTGCAAAAAAATATTTTTTTTACATATTTCGATATTGCAAAGCTTGGCTAAGAAATGAGGTGTGGTGATCGTATGCAACGCAGTTGATTGTAGTAATGATATCAAATGCCGCAAATTGATTGGAGTAGGTCTAAATGATGTGCCCGTATCGTGAAACCTTTTGACACTTCTCGAATGGCTTCAGCGTTTTCAGTGAACCAGATTTTAATGTGCTAAAGAATAAGTGAGTTAAGGAATTAAAAACGCTCACCTGTTTGAATTTACTGAAGACCTCGTTCAGTAGGTTAAAAAGGAACTGTATGGTGGAAGGAATCGAATTTGGTGGTTGGTATGTAACTGCGCACCCAAATCTCTCCGATGAACGGACGCGTTGTCAAAGATAAAAATCAACTGGGACACGCGGTTGTTCAGTAGCGATTAACGTAGAGCAGCTTGATAGAGACTGTGGTTTTCGCGAAAGGATCTATCACCTTTCTTTTAAATCGGTATGATCACGAATTCATACCTTTCTGTGGGAACCTCTTCCCTCTCCCACACGGAGCCCAGCAACACCGCGAGCTTCGGATGCCGAATCGCCTGACACAGAGAGTGAAGCGTGAGGATGAGGCTGGATCTTGAGAACGGAGAGAGATGAGTAGGATCTTGTATGCTTGTTTCGGAGAAAACATACATCTAAATGGAAGGTTTCAAGGGTTCTAGCTAGGGTAGCTTGTTGACCGATTTGATAGAGTGTGCGGACATTAAGTGCAGCTAAGTGAAAAAGGAATTTCGGTTTCCAAAATCTGCTACCTTCTGATTGGTTGGCCCCATCAGTTGAACGCTGAGTGATATCCGATGGATCTCGTAAACAGGAGGCACCTGGGATTATTGAGGATCGAGTAGAAGAACTAGACAGATGGGAAAGATGGTTTTCCAATTGGGTACCGAAGACTGGTTCACGGCATGTTTCTCGGTAGCCCATGCTGGCGAAGGATTTTTCATTGGGAACCCTAACCGAACCTATGACTCATAAGTCTGGCCCGCAAGGCAGCGGGAAACATCTCCAGAGAGTACGATCACTGACACCGCAATGTGAAAGGAACTCGATTCATTCTACGTCCGAGGCACGAGGGGTTAACACTAGTTTGAAAGTGGACGATTGTTGACCTAAACTGCGGTTGGTTTCCTGAACACTTTGATGAAGGGCAAACTCACAAACCATTAGATGAAGGTCCCGAGAGAAGCGATCAGCAGTCCTGGTGAAACAATTGGAAACCCATTCCATGTGTGGTGCATTGAAGTCTCACTATGCAGTGACCATCCGCAGCCCAGCTTCTCATGGATTCCAGTAATAAAAGTAAGCCGATGCTCGAGTTCTGTACGCCACTCATAACACAGTTAAAAAATTCCAGGAGAGTTTGATCCTTGTACCAATCTCGTTCCGATTGAGGATGACAGTTAGTGGATGGATTTTCACTCAATAAGTTATCGCGTTCCTTGTTTTGGGTTTTTGAGCGGATTACCGCCCCCACATGGCCCAACTCTTGTTTACTCAAAATTGTAGCATTTCTCCTTGTCTTGCACCCGGCGACATGCTCATATAGATTGCTAACCCGTGATTTGTTTGACATACCGTTGGAAGTTATCCGTTTTAAACGTCATTTACATGCTGCACATCAGAATGCATAATAAAAGGTATATATATATATATATTACAGTAAGTAGTATGTAAATGACTGGACAAAATTCCCCTGGAAGCACACCGGTTTCATGATTCTTGCCGCTCGTCAGGCATGTCTATCCGGTAATCCTTTNGAAGTGTATTTTCGTCACAACCTTGTTTGCAACACCGGGTGACCATTGGATAGACAGCTCTTTCAGAGCCAGTCCATTGGAGAATCAGTGATATATATATATATATATATATCAAGTTGTCCTATCATTAGTATTATTTTCTTCGATACCGAGTATTGGTTTGTGTGAATTTCGTACTGTTTCTGTCATATGCAAGGTATCAGTTCGTTCATGCAATCTAGTTTATGATGCGACCAACAACCATCAAAATCACATTATTCGAACGGACCCACTTGAGTTTGTGAAGTGTATTTTCGTCACAACCTTGTTTGCAACACCGGGTGACCATTGGATAGACAGCTCTTTCAGAGCCAGTCCATTGGAGAATCAGTGATATATATATATATATATATATCAAGTTGTCCTATCATTAGTATTATTTTCTTCGATACCGAGTATTGGTTTGTGTGAATTTCGTACTGTTTCTGTCATATGCAAGGTATCAGTTCGTTCATGCAATCTAGTTTATGATGCGACCAACAACCATCAAAATCACATTATTCGAACGGACCCACTTGAGTTTGTTTTGCCTATCAGAAGATATATTGCAACCAACTCTATCATATATTGGCGGTTGCCATTCTTGTCTACCATTGCAGCCAAAAGCACAAGGTTCGTGGGGCGAACGTGCCAATCGTGATTTCCGGTTTACTCAAGGAAAAACTTTCAAACACGAAAAGACAAAGAAGAAACGTGGTGCCTATTTCGGCGGTTCTCTTTCTACCGATGTCTGTTCATACAAATTTGAAGACTGATATTTTCCTCTGTGCTATTCGGTGAGAGCTGATGGCATGCACATTGCCGCAGGGCAAAATAATTGATTGAACTTTCGGTATTCCGGTTACTTTTGTAATAAAACAGTGTAAATATGCTTCTCAAACGTTCTTCTGTGTTTATGCTGTCTATTTGTTTTAATCAGAAGGGGATGGAGGATTCCAGAGTGCATCCAGGTTCCCTGGACTAAGATCTTTTTCCATCATTAAAAGGATCATTCAATTTTGAAATATCACGAAACGGGGACTATATCTACAATCTATACTGAGTTGATATCGATAATTGCTGGATTTCCGTTCAAGCTTATTAGCGGAGTGATCAGAGAGAAAACCATAGCAACCACTAGTGTTCCTGTGGGTTACCATACAAATGAATCGGTGCTATTCATCCACATGATCGAGGTTTAGGGCGCACGATCGTTTGCTATGATAGGGGATGAAATGACTGTAGCTCGGTTCATTACTGTACATCCACCGCGTTCCTTCATTCGATTCTCCAAGTTTATAACCAAACAGTGGCTTTTAAATTCCCGTTTTCTAGTGTTTTTGTGTGCAAAAGTTCACCGTTTGAAGAAATTTTACAAAACCCGTTTGCCTGACAAACTGGTGCAAGTCCCGGCTATCATTTTCTTCCCTACAAACCACGATAGGTGGCTGTAATATTTGTTGTAATTTATTGACCGTTATACGCATCTGCAATGTAGAGAACAGCAAATCGGATGGACAGAAAAGGTCCTATCATAGCTTAAAGTCCGTTTTGTTGACCCAAGAGGAGGGCGGGGGGTCGTCGATCGATAGCAATCGATTCTGCACATCTTAGCAATCCTGCTGTTCGTGACTTGTAGATAATCCGAAGCGGCGTGCTTCGGTCAATCTGGTGTTGCGTCATCAAAACAGGCTTAGCCACGGCTGATGACCGAATCTTGTAGCTTCAACCGTTGTTCCTATGCCGCTGACTTGACCTCGATTGCGTCATCTGAATTTTGACCCAATTTGGAATATGTTCAACAATTCGGTTACATAATTGTCGCTCTGTTTTGCCCGCGTAGGTTGCTCTGCTCTTACATTGGGATCGGTAGATCAGATTAGAGTTAGTCTACAGAGGCAGACATTCTTTTGCCGGAGGTGAGTATTCTAGTTATCCCATAAACTATTAGGGGGTCAACTGCATTTGAGGTTTAATCGATTGTCGATCTCAGTCGTTTTCTGAGTAAACAGTTTACGTCATCACCTTTGAATTGAAGGCACAACGTGAACCAAAACTTTAGAGCTGATATAACTTTCTTTCTTGGTTTGTTGCACTTCCGCTGAATCGTTTTCTGCTAACATTTCCCCGAGGGTTTTATATTGTATTGTATTTTAGTAACTTCTGTAGGCATGAAGCCTAAATTTCATTCAGAAATATACAGGTTGGAGCGAAGGAAAAAATAATAATAATGATATTAATGATGAAAAAAAGAGATTTAAATCCCAAAAGCTTGTCAAGGTCTGTGAAAACCTATTCTTAGGTAACTAGAGTACGTGCGAATGAAGGTACTGTTGAGTTGAAATATATTTTTATTCGAGAGGGAACACAACGATATTGGGATCTCGTTGAAGGATGGAAATAACAGGAAATTAGATCTGCCTGTAGCGAATGTGTGGAGTCGATGAGAATTTTATATGCAAACTTTTCACATGCATTTAAATGACGTTTGCATAGGTCAGCGGGACTGTAGAGACACGGCTAATGATGGTCGGTCCACGTCGAAGCAGTTTAAAATCGTTCTTTAGGAGATGAAAAAAGTACCAGGTGAACAATAAAGTAAAACGGGTAAAACACACTGATACACAAATTTTTAGATAATTGATTATTGAATATGAAACTGACGAAGTTAACCAATATGGAAAGAAAGTCGTCGAAGCTTACTGACGTTATGTTGAATGTGAGAGGTCCAGTGAAGATTACTATCGATGAAAACGCCCAGGTACTTAATACCGTTAACCCGGGATACCGGTCCAGAGCCAATCGATACCGGTTCAGTTGGGAAAGAAGAGCATGATGATGATGAGGCATTCGAAACATTAGAAGGTATTAAGAGGTAGGCCAGATGTGGTGGAAAGCCGTTGAACGTTATCCAAGTTGTCAGAAAATTGTGAAAGACCAAAAGAGTTTGACATGGCCTGACACAAAACCACATCGTCAGCATATCTGAAGAGAGAGGTTGGGACGCTAGCAGACAAGTCAATAATATACGTAGAAAATAAGTATGGGGAAAGAACTGCACCTTGGAGTACTTCAGAACTGTTCAACAACGGTTTGGATTTCTTCCGACCTAAACTGGTACACTGAGTTCCGAAGAAGTAATCGGCAAGCCAAGCTAATAACTGTCTAGGAAAATTTTGTCTTCCAAGCAGATCTGTCTCGCTCTGTCTAATAAAGTCGGAGCAGGACCACATTTATACTTCAGGGTCATGAAGCCCTCGAAGTGCAAAAACTAATCTTTTCACGTCTCTTTTTAGTAAACGGATCCAGCAGTTGTTCTATCCTCTCTGCTCCTCATGCTAATGTCAAGGAAATTTGGTGTGTTGATGGCTTCGGACTGTATTGCGAACCGAATATTTTGACGTGATCTCTTAAGTTTATCCAGAATTACTGTGGTTTCTTCTAGGCTTTATGTTATAACAAGGGTGTCGTCGATGTATCCTTTTTACAGGATGGCACATTCCAGAATGTTATTTGTCTTTTGTTCAAGATGCGCCATAAACAGGCCTGCCAGGACTGGGCCTAACGGGCTGCCCGTATCGATACCATCAATTGCCTATACGCATTTCCTTGAAAAGTGAAAGACACGATGGTTGTGCAGTCTAAAAATAGACACTCAAGGGTTGANCACTGGTAGACTCACTCCGATCTGTTCATTCTCTAAATGATCGCAAGTGATTTTTACGACTTCAAGCACATTAATGAATAGGGATTGGGAATGGAATAATGCCATGCATTGTCCTTCAACGTTGATCTTGTCCAAAGGTCGACTAATTCAAAGCTGTCCTTGAAAGTATGTTTCACTATTGGTCTATGGACTGGTTCTAATGTGTTAAGGTTTGCAGAAGCGATTGTTATCAACCGATCGCAGTTCCTTTTGTGTCACAGAAAAGAACTTAGTTATTTTTTCCTTACCCTGGTGACAGTCCTTTTACTCTTCCCCTTTTATGCTTGTCTGTTTTAACGTGTTTTACTTTATTGTTTGGCCATGCTAAAGCTCTATATCAACATTGTTTTCTGCAGTATCCATCATGTTTAGGTGCGGGGAAATCGTCCTGGGCATAAATCGTGCAGTGTTGCAGTATGGTCGTTTCTGTTGGAATCGATTTCGGAAAAGGCTTGCTTCAGTTTTCTTAAATATATTCAGCTTTGAATCCAATAATTGTCAAAGCTGCTGGGTTCATTCGATAAGACCGTTGCAAATTTCAAACACAGCAGCCGTACTTAGTGAACATTTGATATCTAGCTATAATTATTATTGCTTATTAGGAATTGCCCAAGAACCGAATTTCCGTGAAGATATCGTGATTCAGTGAAGCGAGATTGCAAGTTAAAATATTTGTGAGGAGAGGTCATCATTAGATAGTCTTCGAATGTTTGATGACCTGCGATTTTCGTGTGAACAGCTTAGACGGTCAGGCTAAAATTGTCCTATCTTGACTGGATTCTAAGTAAATTCCGCCCGAGTGCCGCGAATCTGCCCCGAGTGAAGACCAATTTTCTTCTTGGTGTATTGTTGATGATGTACAACGCAGGTGAATCCGTTTCATCCCCTTATTGCGTAACATGGTCCGTAGTCATCATCCTCATCGTATGACGAAATACAGTGAAACAAACTTCACTTTACCGGCAATCACTTACCAACAACCTAATTTTTTCGTTTGTTTTTGAATTTCCTTGATTTCCTTATCATCACTTATATGCAAAGAGATTCACCTCCTTTATTCCCATTGTTCCTTCAGTTCAGTCACAGTCCTATGCAAAAAACGACCGATTATCCCTGTCTTTTTTGCTGGTGACCTTTCATTTCAATTAAAGTGAGCTTGTTCAAATAATCCTATTTTTTTGTTCAGGCTCGTCAATTGAGTTTGAAAACTTTTAAGGGATGGCACAACCAAAATCTTAGATGCGTTTTCAGATTAAATGTTTATTATTTTGCGTTTTATATCTAACATCGTAAATTGATATTGGCAATTAAATAAAATTACAACCCAAATGTTACACAAGAAGACATTGTTTCATTTGAAAGAACTTGAATCAGAGGAATTGTGATGTAGCTATCAATGCATGGTTGTATTCATATATGGACTCAATGGTGTAGCAGCAATAATTCGAAAAAACCTAACCAGTTGAATCGATGAATCCAAAAACCGTCAGCCACAACAGCCTCGATCAAACTGCCACCATAGATCCTTCAATTTATGATATTTCATTTTCTAACATTGTCACATTGATTACAACAGATCTCAACAACCAAATGAGAATCGTTCGAGATTGTAACTCCTACAAAAATGAATGGCTGTCGCATTCCTCAAACACATGGATTATGGAACACGAAACTTGGGATTTTGGGATGAGCAACTGTTTGACCTCCCCACACGCATCCCCGAGGACGTTGGTGACCGCTCCGCATCATTGACTTCATTCTCACATCCGTCATTTGTCACATCATCATCTGAGCAGTAGAAACATTCCACTTATAGCTAATTCTTGACCATCAAGTATCAGAGCCGGGGTAGAGAACAACCAGTTTCGTAGCGGCACTTTGTACTTTGGAGGTGCAAAATACATACCAAACAGAGTTACAGAACAAGGAAGTCTGTCAAGGTCGCTTTGAGCATCCTCTTTCCAGAAAGACAATGTCGCCAGCGTACTCTAAATCGCACAGCTTTTCTCCAGCATCCCATAAAATATTAACTTTCAGAGACCACTTATTGCATTCTCCAGTATTTCGTGT